ACGGGCACATACAACACACATTTTGCTGGCTTACGTAATATGGCAATATACTGATTCAAATTGGGCTTTAATATTAACTTTTAAGTGTGGGTTATATTAATAAAGAACTTTGTTTTGTAAATACTAATATTTTTATTTTTTTTTTTGAGAACAAGGATATCCGTTTTTTTATATTTTTATTTTGTGAAACTCGAAACTCTATTTAATATAGATTTTATTTATTTATCTGATCAACTGAGTAACCCTACTGCGGCCACTGTAAATAAATGACAAAATTTGCTAGCTAAATTTTATAAATTTGAGACAGCCTTTGGCATATTTTGTCCAACACTTTTCCGTTTCGGCCAATTGAATTGTGTCGACAGAGAGCTTGCAGCTGAGAGCAGCGAGCGGCGAGCGGCGAGCTGTCTGCTGCTAGCAGTTCAACTTAAACTTGTTAACTTTTGTAATTAAATTGTTAAACATCAGTTGGACTTTAATTGACTACCGGTGTAGCCGTTGAGCAAATGGCTGGCAGACAGGCTGGCAGGACAAGCAGGACAAGAGCAGCTCGCGTAGCAATGAGGACTCTCCGTTAGCCAGCTCAGCAAAATTCCTTAAGTGCCAATTTAGTGGCAATTTGCCTTTGTCTTAACACTTTTTATTTCGTGAATGGCCCCGGCAACATACAAATTTAATGTTAATTAAGCCCAAAGCGTTGCCCATGGCATTTTATACACAGAAACACATATTTACACTGGAATCCCAGCTCCTGTCTATATAAATATGTGAGTCTGTGCATATAAACAAATGTTTGCTGGCCTAATTGACTTTAGCCGTTGACAGCAAAAAAAAAGGATTTTAGCCTCAACAAAAAAAGGAAGCGCAAAACTTTAATCAAATGAAATCGAATTGTTGGCCAATTGAGCGCCAGAACGAGTTCAATCGCATAAAATGCACAAGGTGGAAGTGGCAAAAAAATTTGCATAAAAGCGCCAAGCACGTTAACTGGTTGTGTGCCTGTGCATGTGTGTGTGTGTGTGTGTGTGCTTTTGATAATGCCATTTTAAATGCACTTTATGCGCTCTTTGTCTCAGCTGAATGTCATTGGAAACATGCAGCTTTGGCGCAGCTAATCCAATGATATATCAACTGCAACGATTTGCATATATTACAATTGGGCATTCAAAGCTTAACGCCACGTTACGTATACGTCACATATTACGCATACGCCCCATATCCACAAATTAAACGCAAACGTCTTAATGTAATGTGAGTGTGTTTCTAAATTTAGTTGTAATTGGCACTGCTATGGGCTAAAACTTTTTTGGTGAGAGCTGCATATCAATGTCACTAGACTAGATAAATTATTATCAAGTAAATTTATAAAATTTCGTAATAAATATTTTATTAAAGCGCTTGAAACCTTGAAGGAAGTGCCTAAATTAAAGCATTGAAGTATTATGACATGCGCGATCTTACAAATTTCCACTGAAGTATCAAGTAAGCACTTCAGTGTATAAAATATCGTCTTACCCAAAAGCTATCTATATAGAAAAATAAATATGTTATTTTAATCCTATGATCTTTTATAGTTATTTATGAATTCAAATACAACTTCTTTAATCAATGAGATATTCTAAAACTGTAATAAAATTATGCTTTAAAGCTTTTCAATTTAATATACAAATATTTTTTTGTTATTATTTTTTTATATTTAAATTATTATTTCCTGCCATATTGTATAATTATTTAATAAATATAGTTATTCTTGTTGATTTTCGCTTATAACTTTATTGAGCACATATTTTTATTCGTCTGACAAGTCTACTAACTTGCGTCCTATATTTAATGCTCTGAACTTTAATTATTATGTCTACTAGTGTAGTAATTATTATGTAGACTAGTAAGGTTAACGACAGCTACAATTTCTATTGTTATTATTTGGTCGAATTTCGCTGGCTAATTGTTTGTCGCTGGGATGCCAAAAATTAATTGGTCACGTGGAGAGAAGACGTGTCGCCGGTTTCCGCCTCGTCTGGCATTGGTCGCGCTTGTTATTGATGATATTTCCGTCAGCATTTAATTTGATGCACGAGTGCCTGTGATAGCCGATGCTAATGATTGAGTGTTAATGGGGCAAACGTGGCCGAAATGGGAATCAAAGCGCTACAGAAAAGCGTTGCTATACATATGTAATAACATGGCGGATCGGCTGACCTCAATGCATGGGTATGGGTGGCAATGGCTGGAGGGGCTAGGGGCTGTGGTCAGAGGGGGTGAGCAAACAAGGCGCGTGTCAATGCGTTGCCAACCAAGGAAAAGCAACAACAGCAGCGAGAAACGTGGCCAACATGTTTGCAGAGTTGGGTAAGGCCTGGCCACAGATGCAAACATTGAGATATGCAACGAAAAGCACACACATAGCAAAGCACACACCTACAGGCACATGTTGGCAAGTGTGTCATGGACATTGCTCAGTTTTCGTTATGTGTGTGTGTGAACAACACACTTACACGTGTTCCAACGGCTGCTGACAGTTGATGCTGTGACTGTGGCTGTTGCCATAAAAAAGGCGCATACTAAAATGGCAATACGAAGGACAAGCAAACACACTAAATACACATCCACACACACCTATCCATGTACTGTAATTGTGCTTGAAAACTCTGGCAACACGCATTTATGCAAGATTGCAATTACGATATAAAATACTTGTTGGGCTCGATCTGCTACAAGAAATGTGTTCAAAAAACTGTATTGTATGGCCAATGCTCGAATGCATTAAAGTCGAGTCTTGGCCAAGAGGCAGGCATGAATATTTATGTTAATATGCCAGCAGCTATAAGCCAAGGTCGCGAATGCATCAAAAGCTTAGCAAAGGCAAACAAATTTCAGATAAGATAATGTATAAGAGGCACTCTACTGAAAGATGGTAATGGATTGAAAAAAATAAATAAGAAAATGTTGCTGATGTTATAGGAAAGATAAGCACGTAGTTCTTATAATCAGCTATAATCTGCTTTGGGATATGTAATCAATTTATTAGTTTTAGAAACAATGCGAATTTGACTTGTTTCCCTTATTTTCATTTATTTTTTCAATTAATTAACTGAGTACTCTTTGAGTATACGACAGCCTACATTTCAAATGGGTCGTTCTTTTACAATTTGGAAAATAAAAGATAAAGTATATCCTGTCGCTTATAGGCGCTTTCAGCCTCCTTCTGCATTACTACATTTAACTACATTTAACTACAGGATTTCGATATCGATTTTTATCGATTACTTGGAAACGGGGCAAGTTAGCGAATATCGGAAACAAAATCGATCTGCGAGGGGACTAGGAGGACCTACAGCTAAAATTGCAAGTCTCTAGCTCTTATAGGTTCTGAGATCCTTGCGTTCATACAAACGGACGGACGGACAGACGGACAGACAGACAGACGGACATGGCTAGATCGACTCGGCTATTGATGCTGATCAAGAATATATATACTTTATTGGGTCGGAGATGCTTCCTTCTGCCTGTTACATACATTTGCACAAATACCCATGTTTACCCATTTTGAATGGGTTCAGGGTATAATAATGTACTTACATGATAATAATTATAACTGTTCAAATGGGCCAATATCTCTCTAAACTCTTGGCTATTTCTCTGTTTAATGTTTCATATTACAAAATCCTCAAAATGCCAGTGCCAATTAACAAATTGAACTCAACTTGACCGTTGACATAACGCCTGACCATCGCTGTGGGCGTTGCATGTCCTTTCGTCCTATTCTATCCTGCGGCGCTGGCAAAACTGTCATAGCGTTAATTGAGTTTGACACTAATGAGCGTGCAATCGTTGCATAATTGATTTATAAATGCACCAGCCGCACCAAACCCGTATCTCCCCAACTGAGCTGTTCACTTGAGTTTATGACGTTGTCGCAATTCGGCACTAATTGGGTCAGGCAAACAATGACGGGGGCCGGGCGGTTGGTTGTGAAACTTAAAATACGCCAAATTATTTGAAGGCTGCTGCAGTCGCCAACGCCGGAACATAATTCAAGTAGCTTGTCAGGCTCAATTTGCTGTGGCAGGGGGAGGTAATTGGACTAGGGAGCAGCGGGCGTCCAAAGCAAACAGCGCACATACGAGCATAAGTCCATGAAAATCGCTGGAAATGTTTGCGGACATAGACAGCATAATCATCAGCGGCATTATTATATTCATTATAATAATGATCATCAGCATCAACATCATCATTATCATTTTTGTTCTGTGGGCGGGCTGCTTGCCACAAGCGCTAATTCCACACAAATTGTAATTAATTTGAATTAATTATGTTCTACTTTCCACATGCCAAAAACAAACAGTCGCTGGCAAACAACTCTCTAACACACACACACACACATGTGGGCGTAGCGACTGAGACATATTTTTTGTTTTAAGCATACTAAGGCCTAGGCATACACACGCACACACACACAACCACAAATTCACCGCAGAACGGAAGGATAAAGAGCAGCTTTCGCAGGCTTTGCTGCAAGCTAGGAAAGTTTTCACTGTTCGTCCTTTTTCATTGCCTACTTTTTAGCGCGCCAGACAAATGAAACGAACTAAATAGAAATGTCTTTAAAAGTATTGTTGCAGCATTATTTAAATCTTAGAATGACAAACGGCAGCTAATTATTCAACGTATTTAAAGCTTTATTTAAGAGTTAAAAAGGATATCTCCATAGTTGATTCATTTATTTTCAAATTAGCTACACAAGGATTAGTTTATTGGCAACTGAATAGGTAGGCTTTGGGTTTGATTTAAATGCGTGTTTAACTTTTTTCTTATAATAAGGTGAATTATATTTGGTCTAATAATATCTATCTGCTTGTAGACACCATCAATACATATTTATAGTAAGAGTCTAAACCTAGTCCATATATAGCCGGGCCATGTTTATTTGAATTTGAAAACATTCATCGAAACTGGCCATGACTTACAAAAGTCTAGCATGTAGTCAAAGTACATTTTATGTCCATTCAATTTTAAAAAATAGACAAAATTGGTAACAAAACCTATAAAAATATAATTTTGGCCCTTTACGACCAAATTACATTTTCGGCTTGCATATCCTTTAAATTACTGCACGATCATTTCAAACAAAATGCATATACTAGTTATAACTCCGGCTGGCAAGACGGTAAAGGTCGATATTGGCGATGAGCCCGACCACAAGGATGTGAATCACGACCGAATAATACCGCTGGGCGATAAAAAATTGCTGGATAAGTTCCCAACAACCCCGGACCAGTCACCGATTCAGATAGAGAAACAGCCGAAATATCCAGGCCAGGCATCCGTGCATTTCTCAAGCAATTCATAGCACGTCGATGTCGGTGCGATACTTGTTGATCGATAATACTTATCGATTTTTCATTCATTCTTATTTCATGTTTTTTGTTTTAGTTAAAAGATGTTTTCGTTGTGCGGTAGCTGCTTAAGGGAAAACCTACGGCACACTTGCCTGTATATTGGTTCCGCCAAGTTAAATAATTGATACATGCTGATTTTTTATCGGAATACACAAGTAAATGAAGGCGGTAAGTGCAAAAGGGTAGCCAATTATATCTATTCTTTTTCAATCTTAAACTCCTTTGTCCATAGATAAGTTTCGAGTCAATATATCAGCAGCTTGAAAGCGGAATATAAAGAAATACTTGGGAAAACTGAGTAGCATGCAGCATATGTGCAAAGTTAGCAACAACAACGTACAAATCTTGTAATTTTAATGTATATCCTTAGCTCCTTTGAGCATAGAGGAACATTTCTATAAAATAAACCAACCTACCAAAAAGATTATTTACGAATGTATTAATGAAACGTTACAATATATGCCTATAAATAAATAGCAGCTTAAGCTAAATATTGCTATGGGTTTACTTTTACAAAATGAATGCCCAATTAAATAAATTAAATCAGAGTTGAGCCCAAATAGGTTAGGGTATTAGAGGGTAAGGCAGTCGATGAAAATTTCCCGTATGTGAACAAATGACACGTTTGCTCGTAATCTCTAAAACATGAAGCCGAAACTGAAGTATTTAAGCGACACGTGCTAAGCAAATTAATATGACAACTGCTGTTGCTGCCATAGAAAGTACCACAGAAGCAGCCCAAGCAGCTCGATGCGGCAAGTGAATGACATTGTCTGGCACGAGTGGAAATGTTGACAGCAAAAATTTAACGCTTAAAATGCCAAACACACAAATATTTTGACATTCAAAGCACAGAGAGAGTCGCTCACACAGACACACGCTCACATGCACAGCAAAGCAACAACCACAAAACATGTGCGCTTGTTGTTCTATTTTTTGGCTGCTTTCTTTTTGCGTGGCAAATTTTCCATGAAAATTGCATGAATTGCAGATTTTTATACGCACGAAATTCGCTGCGCTTGGCGTGCGACTGGAGTCAACTCGAGTTGAGTTGTTCTCGTTGTTGTTGTTGCGTGTGCTTTAGTCATTTTTATGGCAGCACTTGGCGTAAAACATAGAACAAAACAACAACAGAAACAAAAGTGCCTTACATTGTTATAGAATTTGGCTTTAACAGGCGCTTACAGCGACCCAAACAATGACTTAATATACTGCAGCTGCGATAAGTGCACATGTGTTTGTGTGTGCCTGTCTGTGTGTGTGCAATGTGGCGCATGCAGTCAACAGCCGCCGCGGTAACAGAAACAGCTCAATTATGTGTAGTTGTCGAGCACGGGGCGTATGATTAATGCACTATATATTCAAATGGCAGCCGAAAAGTATGCAACACTAATAGTTGGCAACAATCTGACACTTGTGGCACACATATGCGGCAAATGCGAAAATTGTTGCAGCCACACAATTGAAATTGCATAGCTAATGCAATAGTCTTGGGAATGGGCCCAGACACAAATTGCTTTGGTGAACTTAGACCCCAAACGTAATTCCACACACATGCAGCAACTGTGTTAAATCAAAGATTTCCGAGTCGTAACCAATTTGTTAGCAGTCAACGAAAACTTTTACAATCAACTTTGGAAGAAGTTTCGCTAGATTTGTTTTAAATAAGATAAGAGATTTACAAGCTCCTAGCTGTCCAATTCAATTAGGCTAATAAAAGTCTTAAGAACAGGCCTGATAAGAAAAACAAACAAAGAACTGAGGCAGCTCTTTCAAATCCAATTGCGCCTGTTTTATATGGTGTGACAAAGTTAGTTTGTGCAAGACTTTTCAATTTAAATAAAATCTAAATACTTTTCCATACATAAACAACAAAGCTTAAAATAATGTTAACTTCACATTAGACAAGTATAAGAATTTAAAAACTAATACTAAAATAAAAAAATCATTAAAAATATCAGCAAAGGAGTTTAAATTTCATTCATGCAATGCACAACAGTTCTTTATTCTAGCACGCCTCCCAAAAATAGCACCCCAAGGAGGCATTTATTATGTCAAGTGCCATAAAGAAAACTAAACAAATTCAGCGTAGCTCTGAATTAAAAACATCAATTCTTAATGTTCCTCAAGTGCATAAATCAAGAATGACAACAAGCTGCCTGCCAAACGCCACCTGCCTGCTGGCGACGCGGCGTATGCGCAACGTGCCTGCCTCTGACCGGAAAACCTTTGGCCATCTGTTTTGGCTGTTTCTCTGTGACATTTGTGTCTTTTGTTTTTAATGTCCAGCCTTTGCCAAATGCTATAAAATTTAATGTACTGCCAAAATAAACAAAACGAATGAAAACAAAAACAATTGCGTGACGAAGGACAACTGAATTGTGGCGGCAGGCTGTGACTTTACCTTTTGGATTTTCGTTTGGCAAACATTCAGCATTCAGTGGCAGTTAAGTAGTTGTCATTGCGATTTGCTTAGACAAGATTTATGCCCGAGTGGCGCTTGATAAATGACTGAACGAATTACTAAGTGGCATTTACTTGCAGTCAAGCAGCGCTCTCTGCGTTTTCTTGGCCATAAATTCACAGTTGGCTGAATGTCTAAATTAGCATTGAGGTAATTGTTGATATTTTGAGTTTAGTTCTGGTTTAAATATGCAATTGCAAATGACGGCATTTGCGGTAATAAAGCAGCTAACTTAATTAGTTGGATCTGCAATCAAAACAAATAACCCTTAGCAAGAAGTTAACATTGTAGGATATTAAGATATCTGTTTGCTTAAAGACAAGTAGCATAATTGTAGATAAATAATTAAATATTTGACGTTCAATTTGAATTTAGAACTCAACTCTAGAGTTATTTTAGGCTGCACTTTATTTATGCCTTTGCTTGTATTAATATATAAATTTATTAAATAATAATATTTTTAGGTTGTATTTTAATTGTACTTATGCGAGCATTTAATTTTATATAATTTTGAATTAAGATTTTAATTATTTTTCTGCTGATTTTTATTTATTTTTTCTGCACTTATAATATTCAAAGCAACAAATTTTTTGCAAGCATTTTATTTGGCTGCTTATATTTTATTTTCTTTTCTTTTTTTTTACAAGCACACAAAGATTTCCCCTAAGTTCTAATTCGTGTACAGGTGTGCACGACACTGTGTATATCCATTTGTGAATTCAGCCAATAATAATAATTTTTCAGTGATAGGATGTGACCGAGTAGGTCATTCTAGTTTGCCTTCATACACACGTAAGCAAGCTCACGTTTACAGACACACACACACAAACAGGCACGTCGAAACTTAGCCTTTTATGCAGGGCCAGTCCATGTTCTTTCCTTTTTACATATAGTATATAGGACAAAAATTAAGTATGGCTAATTAAATGTGTATTAGAGACTTTATATTTCATAAGGCACGTCTCTACCATCTAATATTAGTGGCTATATCGATTCAGCTCGTCTGCTATATGAAGAATTTATATAACTTTTCGAGTCAGAGATACTTTCCTGCTGCCTCTAACATACATGTCCACGAAACCATAATACCCATTTGACCCATTGTTAATGGGTATAAGAACAACATACATCCAGCATAAAAGCTGCAAATGCGTAAATGCAATTTGGGTGCAAAATGTGGCTGAACACAACAATGCACAAAAAGTAAGAGTATACGCGTGTATTTGTAAGTGTGTTAGTGTGCGAAAGGACTGAAATTTTAATTGGATGCAAATTGGCAACACCTACTAACAATCATTTATGGCTGCGGTTCGGATACTCTGAACTGAAAACTCTCTTGTTTTTAGCACAATTTGCAATTTTCGGGCCATTAACACGAAATTGACCGCAACAGAAATTATTTCGTAAGAGCAACGTTGCGTTATGCATTGATTACACGTGAAACAATTCAATTAAAAAATACATTTATATATGCACTATATATAAATAAATAATTCAATGATTGAAGAGCGCACTAAATTGCATTTATCGCGCCCGCATTAATAAATTATTGCATTGGCAAAAACATTTTATTTGCATTCAATTTTGCTCTCCCTCACTTTTAATTGAATGCTGTGATAGTACAAATACTTTTGTTGCCATTATTATATTTTTTCTCATCATCATGAAGGCTTTTATGCCATTTAATGTGTAATTAATTTTTTAATATTATTGAAGGGTTAATCTGCTCGTTTTGTTTGCCTTTTTTTATCGCATGTTTTTATCCGACTTATTTGTGAAAAAGTGTTGCACATAAATAACAAGGGCGCAGTTAATGCCCAAAGGTTTAGCAATCAAATGGGACAATTTACATATGTAGTTGAGTTAATTGATAAGTTAATTAGCCATGGCTAATGGGCAGCAAAAATTAATTCTTTTGTCCTTTTCCGGCTTTAATTGTACAATTCATTATTCAATTGAATTTTGATTTTCTATGTATTTATATAGAAGCTTTTTGTGGTATTATTATTCGCAAATAGTCCAATCTAATGTCTAGACTGAAATCGAAATCTTTAAACGATAATATAATCTTTTTCTTTGTAAAAACTATCAAGATAATTTAATTTGAACGTCTCGACAAATATTATTGTCGACATTGGTAAACAAGCAGGGGTAGCTTTAGAGAGCATAGTTAATTTAGGCTGATCGAAGTGTTAATACCCCTTGAGGCATATCTTTATTTTTTTTATACCCTTGTAAAGGGTATTATAAATTTGTCATGAAATGAAAGACATCTCCTCTCTCTCCCCATAAAGTATATATATTCTAGACCAGCATCAACAGCCGAGTTGATATACTAGTCATGTCCGGCTGTCCGTCCGTCCCTCTGATTCTATGCGAACTAGTCTCTCAGATTTATATCTATAGTCATGAAACTTTATAAAGGTCCGTTTTCTTGTAGGCAGTACATGTGTCGAAACCGGTCGGATCGGACCACTATATCATAGCTATAGGAACGATCGGTCCTAAAGTAGGTTCTTGTCTAAAAAACTTTTGTGTTTAACAAGATATCTCCAAACAAGATATATCCAAACTCGGCATTTATAAGTTTCACTCTGTCTGGTCTCTATCAAAATCTTATCACCATCGGATTACTATATCATATAGCTGGAATTGGAATGATCCGTCGTAATGTTGATTCTAATATGGAAACCTTTTTTATTTTAAGACAACTTAAGCTTTCATTATGATCATGATATATATTCAAAATTTTATCAACGTCGGATCACTATTTCATATACCTGCTTTAGGTCGGCGGAATAGTAGGATCTTATAAGGAAAAATGTTCTGTTTTTAAAGATATTTCAACAAACTCAGCAGTTTCGAGCTGCACTATTCTTACAGATCTGCAAAAGGGATTTGTCTGTTAAAATCTGAGCTGCACTCCGGCTTTAAATCGAACTCGTTCTTTACAATAAGTTCTT